ACACACACACACACACACACACACACACACACACACACACACAAAACAGCCAGTACACGAAAGCACAAATGATAAAAGAGACAAGAGACACACAACATGCGTCAAAATCATTGTTTTACGAACTTTCTGTGATAATTATTAACAATCACTAAATACGAGGAAAATCGCTAGTTAGGCAGGTGACAGTGAACAAAAAAAAGGTACAAGCTTGTAAATAAAGACGAGGGCGAGGGATTGCGACGGTTGTTTGCGACTACGGGGTGAGCAGAGAAATACAAGCCAAGGGTAGACAAAAGTTAGGATCGAATCGCTGAGGAAAGAAACGATCTTGTTATGCGATAATGCGTTATTTACTGTTCCGTGGTTGGTCGACGATCCACAGATCCATCGATCGTCCAATGATACCACACAGGCTCGTTCGAGGAAGAATCGACGACCGAGTAAGCGAATGAGATGAACAAAGAACGAATACGTACCGCGAGACCTCGACATTATATGTATGTATGTTGCTCGGTTACCACGAAAAATCTAAGCGCATTGTTATTTTGTATGTTCCCCCCCTCCCCCAGCGTTTTTTCTAAATAACGATATCGTCGAACACACGATAACGATGGTGATTAATAAAAATCATTTGAAGCACACACAGGCTGGAACGCGACTGAACTCTTCTTCCTTCTTTCTTCCTTTCTCTTCTACTCTTTTCGTTTCTTCTCATTTCAGGGATTCGTCGAACGTTTGTGCGGTCCGCGACAGCCGTATACGATGCAGCTCCTCCGTGCGTCGCATGTCCTCGCTCAGAGCTTTGATTCTCAGCTGCACCTCCTGAATCGCCATCTCGGCGATTTTTACCTTCAGCCGTTTCTCCTCCGTCTGCAACCGAGCAAAACCACCAAGTTCCGCCCTCCATTCAGACCTAACCTAAATCTAAACTTAAACCTAACCTAAACCTATTTGGTAAGTGCTGTCGGAAGGACGACAAGTGCCTTACCAATTTATGTATGTTCCATTCTTGTCTAGGAGAGTGATAAACGTCTCTCCTTTCATACTACACAAACCTAACCTAAACCTATACCTAAATCTATCCGAAACTTCAACCTAACCTAAACCTAAACCTAAACCTAAATCTAACCTAAACCTAACCTAAACCTAAATCTAACCTAAACCTATTTGGTAAGTGCGGTCGAAAGAACGACAAGTGCCTTACCAATTTATGTGTGTTCTATCCTTGTCTAGGAGAGTGATAAACGTCTTTTTTTTCATGGTACAGAAACCTAACCTAGACCTAAACCGTAAACGTACCTCGAGCTGCTGTAGAAGCAACCTGTGCTTCAGTCGACTACGATAGTCCGCCAAGAAAACGTAGCCCCTAGATCCTAGGCCTCGCTCAGAGTTTCTCCCTTTCATGCTACCAGCGTTCTTCTCCTCGCCTTCCCTCTTCATCCGATCACCATCTTCCCTTGCCGATTTCCCCATCTGCTTCCCATCGCCCGCTTCTAAATCCCCGTTTCTGTTACAGCTCGGCCAATTGTACCCCTTGTCTGCAAAATTGTGATAGCTACTCTAAACAAGAGAAGTACTTATCGATTGATGATGTAATACAAGAGAACTACTTATCGATTGATGATGTGAACGAAAGATTGTGTGATAATATATCAACACTTTAGTCAAAATATCAAATGGCCTGAACGACAACAAAAGGCAAAAATGGCGATGCAATAACATTAACGCAGGACATTCTAAACGAAATTTTAAGAACAGCCTTTCGACTGGGTATGATTGACTTGGTAGGTTTCTTACTTGCGTTCGTCTCGTTCGAACGGGGCGCAACGTCGTTGTAACTGAATCCTGTTACCATTTCTTCACCAACACTCGCTCCAGCTTGTTTCAACGGATTCATCCAGTTTCCCTTGCTCATCTGCGGCTGCTGTTCCACTTCGTTCGACGAAACGTCCGCTGAAAATACACACGTCTCGATTGTTGCCTGCAACTGCACGCCTAACGGCTGACTGAGTTACTCTGCGTACGTATCTCTTTTTACCTGTCCGCCTGGAAGACAATGTGCCGCCGTTCGAAAGAGGAAAGTACGGGCTGTCGTTCTCGGGATATATCACCGACACGGTGACGCTGTTGTTGGAAATTCGCGCGTTCGACACTACGATGCGGTTCGTGGTTTTACATTTGTTCGACGACGACGAGGACGACGACGACGACGACGAGGAGGAGGAGGAGGAGGAGGAGGAAGAGGTGGAGGACGACAACGACAACGACGACGACACCACCAGACGATCCCCGTTAACGAGAATCTCTTTCTTCTCCTCCAAACTGTCGTCCTTGAACGCGTCCGTGCCTTCGGTCTTGAAATCGTTGGGCAACGCTGCATCGTCGTCCCGTTCCGTTTTCACTCGCGACAAATCTTAAAATGCCAGGTCTCGTTTACTTCCTCATGAAACGTGTGAAACTTTGTTGAAACCTCGGTGGTGGTGGGATTCACGCGCACGTATGTAGCAGCGTGAAGGAAAAAGAAGAAGAAATACCAATGAAGGAATCCGGGTTATCGGATTTCCGAGCGGAGGATTCGTCGTCCTGGCGCGTTTCACGGAACAGGCATCCTGATTTCGTCGGCGAGCCGTGCAAACGATCGGCCAACGATCCAACGACATCGGAAATTTGCGGCAACCTCCTCGGCGACGGATTCTCTACGAAAATCTGATATCTGTTCCACTCGAGGGTCTCGCTCGCCTCCGACTCGACGCACCTCTTATTTCCCTGCAACGTGCGATCGTCGTTATATAGGGGATGAGATAGAGAACGAGGCTGACCATAAGTAATCAATTATTTGGCAAAAATTTTTTTGCATTCTATATCGATCGTCGAAGAGGAGACACGCGTTCTTTTACAATTTTCAGTAAAA